GCGGAGTCCCCAGGGAAGCGCCAGGCCTTTGCATGCGGTGCCCCATGGGACTGGGGTGAGGCGTCCCCAAAATTCATACCCTCCGGGAGCCCCACCATGTGATGTTACTTGGAAACAGTCTTTGCAGATGTGGTCAAGTTAGGATGAGGCCCTCTGGAGGCTGGTGACCCCAGTGCTGTGCCCAGTGCCCTCACACCGAGAGGAGACCGCAGGAGGGGGCTTGTGCAGACTGGGCAGAGCCCACAACATCCTGCCCTGCAGGCTCCGGCTCTGAGGACAGGGAGGACACGCTTCTGCCATGGGAAGCTACCGTGGTCCACAGGGAAACATGTGTTCTCTGTCCCTGAACAGTGCACTTCCTGTGGGGAGGGGGTCTCAGGCCACACCTGTGGGTCCCTGTCCCCCCGCCCCGGGCCATCTGCATCTCCACCCACCCTCCCTGGTGGCTCCTGGCGTCCCCATTCCAGCCCAGGTCACCAGGAGCCTCTCTGCCTCTTGGGTCCCCTGTCCTGGGTGTGTGGTGGCCCTGACTCAGCCTCCAGGCCTAGGTTCTCAGGGCTTTCATCCCGCCCCAAATGCCAGCGGCTTCACTCTCTGGAATGCAGAACTGAGGCTCAGGACTCCGGGAACCAGGCAGCCACGTGACCTTGGGCACGGCACTTAGGGCCACATGGCACCTGCCCCGGCCTGGCCCAAGTGCCAGCCCCGGAAGGTTCACCGCTCCAACGATGATGAGGTGGCGCCTGGAGTCTGGTGCTGGGTGGTGAGTCATGGGAGGGGTGGCAAAGGCAGCAGGCAGAGGGCAGGCGGGAAGCCAGCAGAGGGCTTGGAAACACATTGGCTTTCCAGTCCCCAGAAACGGCACCGTGGCCACCGGTCACTGGCGGAGCAGTGGCAGCGGCATCCATGCACGCACTGGTGCGACCAAGTCAGTATGCGGCGCCGTGGCCCGTGTTTGGTGCTCAGCGATTTCACTGGCGAGGCTTTCACTCCAGGCTCTGTGGAGGAAGGTGTCCCGCATGGGCCAGCTGTGGGTGCTCCATGCCCTGGGCACCCACGTGGGCCTGGCCACCTTGTAGCTTTGTCTCCTTACACCGCTGCAGGCTGTGGTAACAGCACAGATGTGGGGTCAGGCCCTTGGCAGAGTCCTGCAGTTCTGAGGACTCTGGAGCTGCCCAGTTCTGGAGCTGCCTCAAGCCCAGGCAGGACACATGCTGCCCAGCCACATATCCAAGTCCTCGGCCCCTGGACCGGGCCTGGGGCTACAAGGGTGGGAGGACAGCCACCAGAAGCTCGCCACTGCTCACTCATGTGTGCCCTTGGGGCAAGAGTGGCCGAGGCCTGGCGAGTCTCAGGGAACTTGAGTTAGCTGGTACCTTGTCTGCTTTGCTCTTCGTTCAGCCCAGCGAATGGTACTTGTCAGGATTTAAAGGAAGCTGTGATCGCCCACAAGACTGACTGGAGGAGAGGAGCAGGGACAGCCGGCCGGCTTGCGTGGCAGGACGGGTCGGCATCTGCCTCACCACAAGGGAAAGCCGAGCAGAGTTTCTGACCCATGCAGCATGGACGTGGCCAGTGTCTTCATGGGGGGAGGCAAAGCCCTCCAGGGGTCCTGCTGCCTCCCAGCGCCCACACCAGGCCTGGGCTTCAGGCAGACGCCCTCCGCTGTGAGGTGTGATGACCACAGACAGTTACGCAGGCAGGCGGGATGGAAGGCTGCGCCGGGCTGAGACGTGGGAGCCGTCTGCCAGGCTCCTGGCCTCCGGTGCCACATCCTCACTGCAGGGCCTGGGATGGACACCGAGGAACAGGGGAAAGGCAGAGGGCTGGGCCAGGAGCTCTGCGAGCACCTTCACCCTGTTCGGAAGCTGCCCAGACCTGGGCACCTGGGCCAGCCCTCCCTAAGGAGAGGGGACAGAGGCTGCTCCCTGACCCCGCTGGCTCCTGGTGGCCCCGGCTGCACCCTCACTCCTGGCAGAATCCCTGAGGGGCGAGCGGACCTGTGACTGGCCTGGGTTAACCATGATTCACCTTCGGCTTAGGCCTGGGCCACCTTCCCTCAAGCCGGGCCTAGGGAAGGAGGGAAATGAGCCCGGCAGGAGGACGCAGGTGGAGTGGTGCCCACGGCGCCTGCCACGCTGCGCCTGCACAGTGGGGAGCGGGCCGGCGCGTGTTCCTCGCAGTCTCTGGGGGAGGCCTCTGGGTGCCCACCACTCTAGTATGGGTCCCGCCAGCATCCGGGACTCAGTGCTTCAGGGCGACCGGATGGGTGCCATCGCGTCCTGATGTGAACTGTGCCACGGTCTCAGGGCCTGCGAATCCTGTGCTTCCGGCCAGCTCTCTGACTGCCGGTTTGGGGGGCTCACTGTGCCCTCCGGAACCCACTGTCACTGAGCCGCCGCACGGAGGGCTCTCTCCTCAGGGAGGGTGCTGCCCAGCGAGGGATTTCTCCCGGTGACAGCGGGCTGCTGGTCCCCTGAAACGTAGTGGCTTCCAGCAGCACCGTCACCTCTCGTGGGTTCTGGGCATCAGGACGCAACTCAACTGGGCCGGGCCTCTTGCCAGGCTTTGGTGACATCTGCAGGGCCTCAGCTGGACATGGGGCAGGAACTGTGGGGACTGTGGCCCCTCATGCTGGGCAGGAGGCCGAAGGACGGGCACTGATCCTGCACAGCACTGACCCAGGAGGGCCAGCAGGGTGTGGGCAGGCTGTGTCCTCCCCGCCCTCTGTCCTGCTGGGGGCGAGCGTGGCCCTGCACAGTGTGGGGGGGGACCACACAGATGTCCTGTGTGAGCGACTGCCCCGCTGTTTCCTCTGTCACCCAGCAGGTGCGGTGTCTCCGGCTCTTCTGCTGGGCCCCTGCTTGTTCTGTCTGAGCCTCCTGCGCTTGGCTCTGGGGGTACCACAAAGCCCTGAGACTCTGACCACGGCTCCTGCAGGGTTCCCCTGGGCTGTCCCATGCCTGCCATCATTCTTGTGGACTGTCGTAGCCTGCGTCTCGTAGGTCAGTCTGTTCTCAGTCATCTGGTCATTCCTGGGTGCTTGTGCCTGCAAGTGGCCACTGCAGTGGCTGTCGGGAGCTGAAGCCCAGGCTGGGCGTTTTGCCCTGTCGATGCCACAGCTGCTCTGCCTCCAGCACCTCCCCTCCGCTGCTGTGTCTGAGTGTGCCGGGCCCTGACAGCTCCTGTGGCCCAGGTGACAGGTGCTGCCCTGGCCATGCCATGTCCAGGTGTGAGTCCAGGTGGAGCTCTTAGCATCCCAGAAGCCGGAAGCAGGGCTGCAGGGAAGATGGTGTCCTGGCCGAGGTGGCATGTGTGCCCCAATATTAGAGGTCACTCCTGTTCCTCTATCCCTGGAGGAGAAATATCCAGTCAATCGCCTAAGAGCCTGCCCTAGCCCAGGCCAATGGGAGAGGTTTTCGAGCTCTGGCTGTGTAATTATGCAGGGGCTTGAAGCAGAGGCCACAGCAGCAAGCCTGGGAGCCTCAGGAGGCTCAGGAATCTGCAGTCTGAATGGACCTCACGGGGCTGACAAAGAGTTGCAGTCCTGAGCTGCAGAGTCCATTCTGACCCAGTATCCCCTGGGCCTATTGAAGTGAACTCTGGGCCAGAGGCCTTGTCACATGCCTGTGATCCCTCCTGTGTGGGAGGCGGAGGCAAGAGTGTAACAGGGCCATAGAGGCTGGACCTGTATGACAGCAGGGTGAGGCGTGGCCTGTCTGCCTTCATCTCTGTGTCTGCTCGCTACCACTCAAGGCTTTGGGTCAGACCCTGCCCAGCTCTGCTCCCAGGCATGCTACTCGCTTAAGGGGTGTCTGGAATGTGAGGTCCTGAGCCCTTAATTTACCCAGCCTGTCTTATCCCCTTTGAGACTGAGGATGCCGACATCCAAATAAACAGTGCTCTGGATTTGCAAGGACATCAGCACCAGCTTTTACAAACCCTGTGGGGACACCAGACATCTCCTGTCATTGCCCTACAATGGCAGTCACCCTGATCCAGGAGGAGCAGAGCCCTACAGGCCTCCCGGCACCTAGGAAGGCCACCCCAAAGCTATCACCTCACCATGGGAACAGAGTTGCCCCCAAGTGCTGCTGGCTCCCCCAGAGCTGCTAGGAACAAATGGCCGGACGCAGGGCAGCCAGATGAGGCCAGCTGTGCAGACTCCAACCCCGCCTCTGTCCCCTTTTCTATGAACCCGCAAAGCTCTTCCAGCCCCTGGAAGGCAGATTGTGAGCATTTTGGTCCGTGCTTCCCAGCACAGCACACTGATTAAAGCTCCCTGCCCACATCGTGGACTCTCCATCGTGGACCCTAAAGATCCAGGGAGTCACACGTTCAGAGCCAGTCCTGACAACTCAGTGAGAACTTGTCTCAAAAAGTGAAAAGGGGCTGGTGGTGTGGCCAAGTGGCAGAGCCCCTGCCCAACACCCAGGAGGCCCTGGGTTCCACCCCCAGCACCAGAATCAAAAGTGGATGTTGTGACTCCGGGCGTGGGATCTCCTGCCTGGTAGCCACGCTGGAAGGCAGCCCAGCAAGAGCATAGGGAGCAGACAAAGCCTGGGGCAGCAGAGGCTGCGGCCTGGGGAGGGAGAATCTGCCGAGGCCTCCCAAGGACAAGGACGGTGTCTCTGCGCACATGCGGGGTCCTGGAGGGCTGGTGTGGACAGCCCACAGCTGCAAAGCTGCCTCCCACCCTATGCCCACCCTGGCCAGACAAGCGGCAGAGCCGGCAGGGCACCTGCGGGCGCTGGGTGGGCTCTGCTCTCCCTCCGGAGGCCGAGGCGGAACGGGTGCCCGACACTGCCTTGGGTCCCTGACTGTCGCGTTCAGTGAACACTATATAAGCTGCCCACAGCCCCATCAGGACAGCAGGGCCTGGTGACATCTGCACACAGGGACCTGGATAGGCTGGAACATTTGTGCCTGGAACCCACCGCCAGGGCACTGGGGCACAGGGACACCATTGGGTGACGGACACATCTCACTGGGGATGCTTTTGGGTGCCGGACGCAGTTCCGGCCAGGCCTGCCCAGCAGCCCGACTTCCACGGTGACTTTGGCGCATGACTCGGAGGCCAGCGAGGTGAGTGGCAGGGCGGGGAGCGTGGGCTCAGAGGCCCTTCAGTGCGGCCCAGCCCTTCCCTGGGCCTCGGACCGAGGTTGGTGGCCCGATGGCGCCCCGGCCACAATGAAAGGTCGGCCGCATCCTGCCGGGGACTCCCTGCCCTGTCCCGGCCCTGGTTCTGACCCTCCTCCTCCTCCTCCTCCTCCTCCTCTTCCTCCTCCTCCTCCAGCACAGGCGCTGTAGTGCTTCAGACAGCGTGTATGAGGGGCCCTTCGCTTCCCGGCCTGGGTGGGTGTCGAGCGTGCTTCCCCTCCGGGTTTCCTGACTTGGGTGTGCTGCCCTGAAGGCAGCTCAACACCTGTTTCTTACAACTGTGATTTTGCCAATGGCCCTGCACACCGGGGACGTGTAGACTCCCCACTCTCCAGCGGCAGACGGGAGCCCGAGTGGGCTGATCAGCAGGGCGCCTGCTCTGGGCAGCATCCTCCCAGGGAGCCGTGCTGAGGTCAGGCTCCTCGCCCCTCGGAGTCCCTGTCCACTATGTGGACTCAACTCTGTCCTCCCCGCGTCCCGCCTGGACAGAAGTGCTGTGGTCGCTGGTGCTGGAAGCCACTAGGCCCGGCGAGTCCCAGCAGTGTGGCCAGGACCTGTGGTCAGAAGCCCGGGAGGTCTTGCCTTCTGCATCCCGTCCTGTGAGCCCCAGTCTTGCAGGACCATGGGCCTCTCGGTCCGACCAAGTGCAGCGCCTCGGGCAGGTATGCGTGCTGCTGCCTGGGCCAGGTGGGTAGTGCCGGCCAGGCTGAAACACTGCTTGTGCCAGGGAGCCCCGGGCATTCAGAAGGGGAGGTGCAGCCGTCGGCCCCAGCAGACTCTACCTCTGTGGCTGGCTGTGACCGGAGGGCCTGTGCCGGGAGAGTGCAGGGCTGCAGGCAGGCCGCCACCCCGCTGCTTCGAGTTAGGGTTACTGGCCTGGAGGGCCTTGAGGAGCCCCTCCTCTCCCCTGCGGCCTCCCCGGCCCCTTCTTACCCGTCAGGCCCAGTGGCCATCCTCCCTGTGGGCCCCAGCCCCTTCCGCCTTGGGCCTGTCCTCAGCCTGTGGGCTGCTCGGGGCTGTCGGGGCCAGAATGCCGCCAACCTTCAGGGCTCTGGAGCCCCGGAGAGAGCCGGCCCCAGGTCAGTACCCAGCTCGGCCTGCCCGAGTCCTGAGATGACCCCGCTGGTGCTGCTGCCTGGCTGGCTGCTTGGGCTCCCACCCCACCCACCCTCAGGGAGTCCCTGGAATTGGTGGGATCCAGGGGTACCCAGACCTCCACGGCCAGGGACCTGTGCCCTATCCTGAGCTCACCCTGTCAGAGCTTAGCTCTTCATTATCTGCACAAACCTTTTTTGAACCAGCAGGTTTAATTAAAAAAAGAATTTTATTTGCCTCTGTCATTTTGAAAAACAGCTACAGTGACAAATACCTTGTATATCCACCATCGAGAGCAAAAATCCCCACCCCTTTCTGCCATATGGGGGGTTGAATTCAGGGCCTTTGCCCTGAGCTATACAGCAAATCCCCTACTTATGAACACTCGAGTTGCGAACTTTCAGACCTGAATGGGCCTCGCATTACGAACATTCATAGATGCGAACAGATGGCGGAAGCGGCTCACGCGTGTGCCGGACACTCACAGTGTAAGGCTGCGTGCTCACTGTGGGGAGCGACAGTGCGCAGCGGCACCGAGTCCGTCAGAGCCCAGGGAGTCCGGGGGAAGAGGAGAAGCAGTGGGGATGTGGGGATGCCGGGACCAGAGCAATGACCATGGCAGCAGAAGTGAAATAACTAAGATTGAATCAAGGCGAAGAGATGGTGATGTCACTTGTTCCTATAACATCAACCATTCAACCATTGTCACAATTCTTTTTTTTCATTGCTTATTTCTCTTCAGTCTTCTTTAATCTTGTCATTCTTTTGTGGTACCGGGGATCAAACTCAGGTCCTTGTGCTTGCAAGGCAGGCAGACAGGCGACAGAACCACTGAGCTACATGCCCGGCCCCAGTCTTCTTAATCTTGATCAGGTCTTCATGCTTCCCTTATCTCTCGCAAACTTGCTTTATTTTTTAAGATTGCAGGCAGACATCAGATCGAAAATCCTTCACTTGGGTTTACTTGATGTTTCCCCATGATTAGATTCGGGTAATGCAGTTTGGGCAGGTGTACCACTGGAATAACATTATGTCCTTTTCAGGGCATCTCTTTAAGGGTACTGTTAACTTTGATTAAATGGTTATGGTTCTGTTTACCAGGTTAACCAAGTATACAGTTGCTAATGTTGCCCTTATAGTCAAGCTGTTTGTCAGAAAGTGGTTTTTGTTTTGTTTTGAGAAAGGATCTTACTGTGCAGTTGAAGCTTGCCTTGAATTCATATATAGCCCAGGGTGGGTGGCCTTGAATTTACAGTGATCCTCCTGTCTCAGCCTCCCAAGTGCTGGGATTACAGGCATGTGTCACCACACCTGACTAGTTCGTAGAGATTTCAGTCCATAATCAGCTGGTTCCAAGGCAGGGTAGCAGAGGAGCAACAGTTCGTGTCAGCTGGAGACAGCAAAAGCAACAAGAGCCCCGTTTCACAATTCTCAAGCACAAGTACACGATCACGGGACATGTGAAGTTTTTGATGCTTTACATTGCGTATTTGTGTCAAAGGTGTCTAAGGCTCACTGTCGGATTTACGAATGTTCATTGCACAGAATGGAACTTGTTCCCAAGTCGGGATTTACTGTATTCTCAGCCTGTTTTCTATTTTTGAGACAGGGTTTTCCTGGGTGTGGCAGTGCATCCTGTAATCCCAGCTCTCTGGGGCTAGAGGATTGCAAGTTCTAGCCCAGCCTTGCAATTTAGCAACTGAGTGAGATCCTGTTTCAAAATAAAAAGTAAAAAAAAAGAACTGGGAATGTGGCTCAGGGCAGAGGCCCTGGATTCAATCCCTAGTATCAATTGATAAATATTTAGACACAGCCTCTCTAAGGTGCTAAGCTGCCCAGACTGGGCTCAAACTTGTGATCCTCCTGTCTCAGGCTCCCAGAGGGCTGGGATTACAGATGTGTGCCAGGCACCACCATGCCTGGCTTTGTCTTTTTTATCGTTGTTGTTGTTTGGTATAAAAAAATTAATGGTGAAGTTGAAGTATCTCTATTTTTTTTTTTTGGTACCAGCGATTGAACTCGGGACCTTGCACTTGCGAGGCAGGCGGTGGAACCCCTGAGCTAAGTCCCCAGCCCACTATTTTAAAAAAGTAAGTGTCACTACCTTTCTCTTTCTGATTATAAAAAGTTGGAAAAAACTGAGAAGTACTAAGAAAATAAAATCACCCATACTCTCTACTGCGTGGGAATATTTGGGTTTTACCCTTACCTTTAGCTTAGACGTTTCCCCACCCTCTACGTGCCCCGTCTCCCGAGCTGCATTCCTCTCACGCCCACGCCCTCCTCTGCTCTGGGCTCGCGCCCGCTGCTCCCTTGCGTTTGCGAAGTTTCTCTGTCGAAGCAGAGGTCCAGGCTGTGGCAGAGCGGCCCACGTCAGCCGCGTCGTGGCTGCAGCGCTGGGGGATCCAGAATGGACGAGCAGCGTGGGCCCCTCCCGCTCTGGCCGGAGGCTCCCATCCCTGTGCGAGCTCCCGGCTGAGGAGAAACCTGCCGCCCCGAGAGGACTCAGACACAGATACTAGGCGTCGCAGAGCTCAAGCACACAGGGCACTGTGGCTCCGGCCGACTTTATGGTGTGGAGTGTGTTTTGTTGGGTAGTTAGGAAGTGTGTATAATCTGTTTTCTGAGTCCAGACCAAAACTGCTCAGCGCATATAAAAGGCAGGAACATGCTCGATTTCCCCCGGCGAGTCACTGAGCGCAGAGCAGGGGAGAGCAGACCCCATGCAGGTCCAGCTCAGGCCCTGGAGCTGCCGAGGTGGCAGCCACTGCCTGGTCACCCTGGGCCTGCAGGGAGGGGCCGAGGCACACGGCTTCCACCGGTGGAATGCTGACTGCCACGCCCAAGTGCAGTCTGGGACCACAGCACATGGTCCTGGGCATCGGTGGCATCTGGGGTCCCGGGGCCCCATGGGAGCAGTCAGTCTGCCCACGGTGGCTGCGCATCAGGCTCAGTTTCTCCTGCTGAAGCGGGCTCGGGTCTTGCTGGGAGGGACGGCCCAGGGGACAGCACTGCTGGACCCTTGTCTGGTGTAGGACAGGCTGCAGAGCAGGGGAAGAGTGGCCACTCTGTCAACAGCCGCGGTTGGTGAAGGAGGTGTCACAGGTGAAAGCACCAAGATGTGTTAATGTTGTTAGCGCTGTCGGAGTAACACTCAGGTCCTCCTGGGCCCATGTGGTCAGAGTCACAAGTTACCCTGGGCAGGGGCAGCAGAGGCCCAAGGGGCTCCCTGGAGGCTGGTGACCCCTTCTCCTAGCGCAAGGCCAAGGCAGGAAGGAGTTGGCAAGGGACTGAAAGCGGGCAGGGTGTCGGCCCGAGAAGGAGGGTGCAGGGTCACAAGCCTGCCCTGCCTGGGCAGTGCCCTCTGTGTAGAGCTGGATGGCACCCGCCTGGGTGGCCTGTGAGCGACGCCTGTGGGAGCTAGAGCAGGTGGTCACGGCCCGGCCTCCTGGGAGTGCCTGCGTGCTGGTGTCTCGGCCAGTGTGTAGTGGTCGTGTTTGGGGAGCAGGGAGAGCTCTCTCAACCTGATGCCAGCCACTCTCCCCACACGCAGAGCCCCCTCGGAGCCCCTGCCTGGCCTGCGTGGAGTACAGCACTGAAAACATACTTAATCAACTTTAGAAGCAGTGATAAAGCTCAGCTGTGCCACAGCATTCCCGAGAGCCTCCCTGTGTCTGCTCAGGTGGTGGTGGTGGTGGCTCGGGGCATGGCCCACAGGTGCCAGGGTCCACGCAGCTCCCATGGCACCCACATCGCTGCCCAAGTGGTCCCGGCTCAGGTTCCCAAACACGCTCTGAGGAGTCACTTTCACGGGCACTGAAGTTTCTTTGCTTCCCTTGGTTTAGCCAAGTTTCTCTGCGTCAGGGTCTTGCATGATGTTGAAATCTTTAAACCAGAGGTTAAAGGAGGAGCTGAGACTGGATGTGGAAATCCCTGGGGCATGGGATTTACTCTGTGCAGGCCCTGCAGGGTGGGGTCTGCAGGGGCTTCAGCTCTTGCGGGGCCGCCGGTGGCCCTAACGCCTGTCCATCCTCGCCAGCACGTAGGTGACCCCACAGGATGCTTCTCAGCGCCATGCTGCTCCGCATGACTCTGCCCTCCCGGCACCTGGTCTGGGCTGCGGCCTCCTGCGGTCCGGCACCTGGGAGACACCGAGGAGGCCGCTTCCTGCACAGGGCCCCCACTGCCCGCTCTGACAGGGCCGGCCCTGTCTTCACCAAGGCCCTGGCCTTTGGGGACAGGATCGCCCTGGTTGACCAGCACGGCTGCCACACCTACCGGGACCTGTACCACCGCAGCCTGCGCCTGTCCCTGGAGATCTGCAGGCTCCGTGGCTGCATGGACGGAGACCTGCAGGACGAACGGATCTCCTTCCTGTGCTCCAACGATGTCTCCTATGTCGTGGCCCAGTGGGCTTCGTGGGTGAGCGGTGGCATCGCTGTCCCCCTCTTCTGGAAGCACCCCGAGCCACAGCTGGAGTACTTCATCCAGGACTCCCGCAGCTCCGTGGTCCTGGCCAGCCCGGAGCATGTGCCGCTGGTGGGCCCAGTCGCCGGGAGGCTGGGGCTCCCACTCTTGTCTCTCCCTCCCGACGTCTACCATGGGGCTGTGGAGGAGCCCGCAGCGGAGCCAGAGCAGAAGCACAAGTGGCGAGAACGGGGCGCCATGATCCTCTACACCAGTGGGACCACAGGGAGGCCCAGGGGCGTGCTGAGCACCCACGGCAGCCTCACGGCCACGGTGCGTGCATCTGAGCTGCTCCGGCAGGGCTCAGTCCCTACAGCCCTGGGGACAGGCTGGGCTTCCCGGGGACTTGCCTTTGCCCTTCTGTAGCGTCGATCACACCGGTCACCACCCTGCTGACCCTGCTGAGCAGCCGGGTGACCTCCAGCCCTGCTCGGGGCCAGAGCAGTGAAGCACTGTGTAGTGTAGAGAGGTCAGGGGCTGCAGGAGGGCAGAGTGGACCCCTGTGTGCTGTGCACTGGGGCGGGGTGTCGGGGACCAGCCGCACAGGACTGGCAACTGGGACCTGTGCCTGGAGTCCTTCGGGCTTCATCTGCCGCCTGCCGGCCGTCCTGGGTGGTGCTTCTGTGCTGACTCCAGTGCCCGCCTGGGCAGAGCTCTGCAGCGCCAGGCTTGACCACTGTGCTGCTCCCCTCCTGGGCCCTCTGAACCCCACACTGTCCTTGAGCTGTGCTCTGGCCCTGCAGGTGACTGGGCTGGTCCATGCCTGGGCGTGGACGAGAGACGACGTGATCCTGCACGTCCTCCCGCTGCACCACATGCACGGCGTGGTCAACAAGCTGCTGTGCCCGCTCTGGGTGGGGGCCACCTGCGTGATGCTGCCCGAGTTCAGCGCCCAGCAGGTGAGTGGGGTGGCTGCAGACCCTGGGTGGGTGCCCCGGGGGTGACACAGCCCCCAGCACCGAGGTTGGGAGTCTGGCGCCAGTCTGCTGGAGCCGGTGTCACGTCCAGTGGGCACATGACGGAGGCTCCATGGGTCTTGCCCTGGATGTGCTTGCTGGGCCCCTGGCAGCTGTGTGTGTGGCCTCACGGCACAGGCTCAGGCAGTGGACCCAGGGCCGGGCCGGACGGGGAGGCTGAGCTGTGTCAGATGCAGCCTGGGCTGGGTGACCGCTCGGGACTGCAGCCTTTCTGCCAGCGGGGACGACCATGGCCGCAGGGCAGTGTTGGCAGCGCCTTGGGCTGGGAAGCGCCCCGGCTGCCTGGTCATCACCACGTTCTCGTGAAGCGCCACCCGCGGGCTGAGCGGGCCCTAATGGAGGCACTCGGCCGGCAGGGACACCATGAGGCAAATGCCCTTCAGGGCCATGTGTTCTCACTGACGACTGTGGCTCACGTGGCGCATGCAGCTCTCGGTCTTGGGGAAATATAAAGGCTTACAGGTGAGTCTGGCCAGGCATGGCGCCACACACCAGCAGCCCCATGCCCAAAAGGCTGAGGCAGGAGGATCGCAGTTCAGGCGCAGCCCAGGCAACTCAGCCAGACCCTGTCTCTAAATAGAAAGGGTGGGATGGAGCTCAGTGCAGAGGCCCGGGTTCAACCCCCAGTACTGGGGGAAGGTGAGTCTGGGGAACCCCTTCTCTCTGGGGTGCTGGGGTTGGATGGTGATGGGTCCTGACCACAGTGCCTCGGGGGTGGCCCCTCCGTGCTGGGTGGGCAGCGTGGTGGCTGTGCCCTCTGCTGCCACCAGGCGCTTCCTGTCTGGTCACAGGCTGCCCACTGTCCACTGTGTGGACTTACGGATTCTTCCCTCCAGGCCCAGCCTGTGCGCCCCACTGCTCTGTCCCCACACCTCTCCAGCCCCCGGCCTCGGGCATGAGGAGCAGTCACCTTGGCCTGGCCTCAGGGGCCTCGGTGGTGACCGGCAGGCTGAGGCAGCCCGCTGAGGATCTTTGGGTGTTGCTGTCCCCGTGGGCCTCCAGGGGCCTCTTCTGGAGACACTGCAGGCCCATGATTGGCGTGAAAGGACCCAAATCTCAGCCCTGTATGGCTCTCAGACTTCACTGGGGTTCTCTCGAATCTGTGCAGCCAGAGTGATGCTAAACAAGTCCGCACTGTGGCTGGAGATCGCACTGTCTCCTGTAACCTGTGAGTTAGGTCTTTGCAGATTTAGAAGCGTGTATTGGCAGTGTCCTGCTTTCAGCAGTGCCGGCTCCTGGGTTCGGCCTAAGGCTGTGTGTGTGTGGGCAGAAGGGAAGTGACAGGGCCCAGCGTGCTGCTTCAGGTCCCCTGCTCTGTGGGGCCAGTGGGCTGTCGGTGTCTGTGCAGTGACACGGCAGGAGTGCCGCTGTCCACGTGGCCACAGCGACGGCAGCAGCGGAGAGCAGAGGCTGGCTGGGGTCAGCTGCTGCTGATCCTCTGCGGTTGGGCTGCATCTCAGAGCCACGCTGCGGCCTCGTGGGTGGTGCGCTGGCTGGGCCCGACTGGGTCCAGCGGCCCCCAGGACTCCTGCACTGTGACCTGGTGCCGTCTCCTCTGTCTGGGCCATGCCAGTCCCCATGGAAGCAGCTGTGACTGCTGCCTCAGGCAGAGGTGGCCTGCAGGGGTAAAATGCTTGTCACTGTGTCTTGAGGAACCTTTCAGGCCCCAAAAGTGTGGCCGTGGAGGGACACGCAGCTCTGGGTGAACTCTGGAGCTACAGAGCCCTTCCCACCGCCAGCCCGCTCAGTGGCGATGGCAGCCTGCTGTGTGCAGGTGGCAGCCCAGGAGGCAGGGAGGGTGGCGGAACACTGGGGAGCAAGGGCAGGCGTGCCGTGTGGGGTCCACCGAGGCGCAGGGTCAGCCACTAAGCACCAGAAGCAGTCCCTCGGCCCCTCTGGGACTGCACACTCCTTGACCAGACCCAAGTGTTGCTGTGCCTGGGTGACCTGGGGCATGGGCAGCTGGGTCTGCATCGGCCCTGGGCCTGTTCCTTCTGCTCAGCAGCTGGTGAGGTCTGGGCCCCGTCATAGCATCGCTGACAGGAGTGGGCCCTGTGGAGCCCCCAGGGAGCCACACTGCTCAGCCAGGACACAGGGTGGAGGTGCAGGGAGTGGCCAGGGTCTGCCGTGCCAGGCCCTGTGTGCAGCGCAGCCCCTGCCGATGGGCCAGGTTGTGCTGGGTGCCTCGGCCTCACCTGCTGTGCCTGCGGCTGATGCCCAGGGAGCTGGGGCCCTGCAGTCTGTCCCTCCTGCTGGCCATGGGCAGCACGGAGCAGGAAAGGCTGCTGCCCACGGTGCCCTTGGTGCAGTGCCCCTTTCTTCTGGGCTCCTCCTCCTCCTCCACAGGCACCAAGATCTGGTGGGAATGGCTGGTGTCTCCCAGGGCAGCTCATGGCTCTTCCCGGCTCCTGCTGCCTCTGAGCATTGTTGCAGACGGAGTGCCTCGCAGCACAGGTGTGCTCCCCTGCCCTGGCTTCACCTTCTTTCTTCTGTTTTGTTCTGCGGTACTGGGGATCCCAGAGCCTCACACTGAGCTGCATTCCCAGCCCCTTTCAGCTTTTATTTTGAGTCAGGGTCTTACTATGTTGTGATCCTCCTGCCTCAGCCTCCCCTGAGTGCTGGGATCACAGGTGTGTTCTATGATACCTGGCTCTTCGCATTTTCTTAATGATGTCTTTTTGTATTTAATTTTGGTAACATCTGTTTTACCAACTTTTTAATCCTATAGTTTTTGATACTCATCATAGTCTAATCAATGCATTCATTTTAGATTTTTTTTTTTTTTTTTGAGTACCAGGGATCGAACTTGGGACCTTGTGCTTGCAAGTCAGGCGCTGGAACCATTGAGCTAAATCCCTGGCCCATAATCCTGTAGTTTTTAGTTTTGGTGTCACATCCCAGAAATCTTCCCCCAACCAAAGGTCTTAAAGATTTTCTTGGTTTTTTGCCTAGAAGCATTGTGGTTTTGTTACAGAATTCCAAGAGAGCTGGGCGTGGTGGCACATGCCTATAATCCCAGCACTCAGGAGGCTGAGGCAGGAGGATAGCCATGAGTTCAAGGCCAGCCTAAACTATAGAGTTGAGGACCTGTCTCAAAAAATAAAAAACAAAACAAAACAAAGAAACAGAATTCCAAGAGACAGGAGAGACCAATGGGAGTCAGGAGGATTTATTTCAGGTTTAAGGTGTGCACCAGCTCAACGGACTCCTGTCCAAAGGAAGAGCATTGAACAGAGGGAGCTCCAGCTTGTGTACACTGTTGGAGGGAGAGGGCTTTTTAGTGCATAGCAAGTGAGTTTACCGGAATGGGATGAGGGCAGACTGTTCTATAACTGTGCCTTGAAGGAAGGCACTGTCTTGTGGCTCGCATGAGAACATTGTCATGAACTGGGCCTGCAGGACACAGTCATCCTTGTGTCTGCACCAGAGCATGGAGTGATGGCTCCGGGGGCACAGGGGTGATGGGACAGACTCGTCTCTCTCCAAGTCCTGCTTCCGTCTTAGCTCGTACCTCCGGTCTCGGTCCCGTGTGGGAGGTCAGGTGTGGAGTGTGGCAGGGCTGAACCCACCGCACCCACTGTCCCGAGGCCAGGTGCCCTTGCTGGGGACCCTTCCCTGGTGACCGTCTGCCAGCCGGGTGCCTGACTGTCCGTATCTGCTCATCCCGCTCCGCGCCCTGGGTCTGCGCCCCGACCAGGGCCACACGGGTCGGCTGCTGCTGCTGGAGTCGGTCTGGAATTGGGAGCTGTGCGTCCTCCACTCGTACCTTTCTTTGCAGACCTATTTCGGTCCTTTGCCTTCCACATGTTATGTCAGGTCTGCTCGCCAGTTTTGGCCCGGTGAACTCGCCGGGGATGTGCACTGAAGCCGTGGCCCAGTCAGAAGAGCTGCTACTGAACAGTTGCATGTGTTCCAGTCCCCTGCCTGGTCCTGGTCCTGGTCCTGGTCCTGGTCCTGGTCCTGGTCCTGGTCCTCGTCTGGTCACCCTGCAGGCGAGAGGGTGCGGACTCCTCAGGCCACTGGTCTCTGCCTGGTGGTCAACACCACCCTGGTGTGGTGTGGCCACCCCAGCCACCGGCTGTTCTCAAGGGTCCTTAGGGTGACACAACACCTAACCAATGCATAATCTGGAGGTGGTGAGTCTCACGGGCATTCTTGTGCTGGGCACCGTGCTGGGCTCAGCTTGCAGTGGCACCATGGCTGCTGCTGGCTCCCCCGTGCCTTGGAGCTGGAGGAGCCCTGGGGCGCCACTGCCCAGCTGCAGGTGGAACCTTGGCCCTGACTCCTCTTGTCCGGTTGTCCCTCCCTGGGGCCAGACGCACGGGTCCCCCACACTGTGGCCTCTCGCCGTGGGCCTCTGATCTGACTGGGAAGGCTGTTCAGAGCCGGGCCGTGGGACCGGGCACACTCTGCATGTCCCCATCGGCCTTTCTGGCCCTCACCCGGCTTCCTTTTGTCTTTCTAGGTTTGGGAAAAGTTCCTTAGTTCTGAAACTCCACGGATTAATGTGTTCATGGCAGTGCCCACCATATACTCCAAGTTGCTGGATTACTACGACCAGCACTTCACCCAGCCTCATGTCCAGGATTTCGTGCGTGCAGTTTGTGAAGAAAAAATAAGGTAGGCGGGGTGGGTCCTCCCTGCCACGCAGGAAGCCCAGTGGTTGTGTGTGCGGCCCATCCCCAATGACGCCACTGTGCCGTCAGAGGGCACTGCCCCTCCCATCGGTGCCACTCCCCAGTGCCCCGGCCTGTGTCCCCCCAGTCCCTGTCTCTCTCCGCCCGTGGCTCTGCCCCACTGGCCCAGTGTCTCTGTCTCCCTGGGCTGAGACGTTCCAGCCTCCCCACCGGGGGCATGGCTGCCACCCTGCTGTGGCCCCTCATGTTGCTGGCTCTGCGAGCCGCCTCCCTCACTGATGAGCTGAGTCTGCTGTAACTCGTGCTATGAGTCCACTCCACGTTCCCCTGGGTGCTGGAGTCCTGGCTTCTCCTCCCACCGACTTGCAGGTGGCCCACCAGGAGGTGCCCATGGGTGTGTGGCCCAGTGGACCCTCCCACCCCGCAGGGCGGAGGCAGAGGTGCTGTGGCACACATAGAGTGGGCCAGGGCTGCCTAGTAGGATGGCAAGGCCATTTGAACTTAACATGCTAAGTGTTCCCTGGGTGCAGTGCATGCACCCATAAAGCCTGCTACTCAGGATGCTGAGGCAGGAGGATTGCAACTTCTAGGCCACCCCAGGCAACTTAATAAGATTCTATCTCAAAATAATGCTGACAAGGGCCTGAGAATATAAGTCAGCAGTTGAATGGTTCCCTAGCATGTTCAAGGCCCTGGGTTCCATCCCCAGCATCAAAAAAGCAGGAAAAATTCCAGGTGTGGCTGACACCAGTGTCCCCACTGCCTGCTCTCCCTTGCCAGGCCACCAGGTCTTGGGCAGCAGCAGGCTGTACCTCTGTCCCTAGGGGATTCTGGCCTTCTAGACAGAGCTGCAATGCTGCAGCGTTGCTCCACTTGCTGCTGCTGTGCTCCCTTCTGTGAAGACTTTGAGGAGCCAGAGACCTCTCGGCTCAGGAACTGGGGCTCCTCCAGACCCCCACCCATAGCACCGGGTCCCCCAGGGCCAGGGCAGAGTCGCTCGGGCTCCCTACTTTCGAGGAGGAAACCCATGGGTGACAAGGCCTGTGGTGTCTGAGGGACGTCAGGCTGTGGGGCTCCTGTCCACAGTCCCCGGAAGGTGCCCGAGGTGTGGCGGGGTCAGCGGGCACTGCAGGTCATGGCCCCACGGCTCCATTGAGTCCTTCTGTGTCCAGCCCAGCCGCCCCAGTGCCTCCCTCGGGACCTGTTACCCCCGGGACCCATTGGCGCCATTGCCTGCTGCTGTGTTCATGGTCATCCGGGAGTGGCGCACTAGTCATTTGCAAAGACCCAAAGCAGTAGTTTCTGCAGGAGCCCTGTTCATGTTCTGAAACACCAAGTTCTCTCCAAAAGCAGAGCTGCCTTTGCCTAAACTCATTTTTATCCTGAATTCACAAACTCGAGGTCACGAGCACTGTGGGCCGTCGGGAAAATGGCCCCGTCCCCCTCCCCAGGCTCATGGTGTCCGGCTCGGCCGCACTGCCCACGCCCCTGCTGGAGAGGTGGAAGAGCGCCACGGGCCACATGCTGCTGGAGCGCTACGGCATGACCGAGGTTGGCATGGCCCTGTCCAGCCCCCTGGCCGGGGCTCGCCTACCAGGTACGATGCCCACAAAGCCTCCTCCTCACTGTCCCTGGGCCTCCCGGGTGCCAAATAGGCAAAGCACGGTGCGCGCTGCACCACTCGCCCTAGAATCATGGCCTCCAGCCCTGTCCCTCGAGGGGGCGCCAGCGAGCCCTGGTCCCCGCTCCTGGCGCACATCAGCCTCCTTGTGCACCTCCACAGGGGCTGCGAGCCCCCCAAGGTCCTTGGTTAGCCGTGCTGATGCATCAGGGCCCCAGTGCCTGCTGCTGTTGGGAGCAGCTGCTGCCTGTGCCCCACCCACACACAGCCCCTGGACAGCACAGGCCACGGTGTCCTGGGTGTGGTCCTCTTCGGGTCCGACTCTACCCGCTTTTGTTCCATCACCACTGCAGGTTCTGTGGGGACCCCACTGCCCGGAGTGGAGGTTCGCATCGTCTCGGAGAGCCCACAGAGGGACGGCTGCCCATACACCGTGCACGCCCAGGGGGACACGCAGGGGACAAAGGTACCATGGGGGGTGGAAGCGCCGACTGGGCAGCTAAGGGCTTGCAGAGTTTCCGGACCTCATCCACGAGGTGCCCTATGCTCCCGGACAGAGGACAGCGGGGCCCAGCTGCCCCTCGTCCTGCAGCAGCTCCTCACAGCTGCCCCGCCCTCCCGGTGTCCTCCGACCTGCTCCACGGGAAGTGGCAGAAATGTCAGAGGAAGGGGAGCGTGGGCCTCAGAGCACTTCTGTCTTAAGCTGAGATGAAATCTAGCTGCCTGGTACCTGTGGTGGAAAGCTGCCGGCTCCCCCTGATGACCCCCGCTGCAGCGCTCTAATTGTCCTGTCTGCAGCAGGCTCTTCCCCAGGCGCACTTGACACAGAACAGAGCCCCACCCCGCACCTAGACAGTCGGGAGGCCAGCACGGGCGCTGGGACTCAGGCAGGGGACCCAGGTGTGGGCTGCCCGCGAGGGGGGCACACAGATGCCCTGCACCCACGCCCCAGCCATACCCCTCACCGTACTGCACCCCAGGCTGCCCTTGAGCCCAGCGTGGGGCTGCAGCCAGTGAGGATCTGCTGACCACCGCACAAGGTCGCCTGGGGCTTCTACCACCGGCTGGGCCACCTAGGTCCTCGGTGGTCAGGAGGAGAGTTTGAACTCTGCCTGCTGGCCACACCCAAGCTAAAGGCGAGGCTCCCACCTGGGCTTGCTCAGCGCTCTGTGAGTGCGCTGGGCATCGCCTCTTTATTTTTTCAAGTCACTCACTTACATAGAGCCAAACACGGCAGTGACAATGGGGTCCGTCAGCAGATAAACGGCCGCACTGCACAGCTGTGTCTGATGCCTGCCAGGGCCGGGGCCTCACATGGAGCCCCCTCCTCCATGGCTGGGCGGGCGGCTGAGGCTGCGGCAGACCTGCTTGTCTACTTCCGGTTGCATCATTTCTCCATAGGCAAACAGTCCCTCAGCAGCCGACTGCTCCGCCTTCTTCCCACCGGGCCTCCCTGTCCTCCCTGATGTCCTGCTGCCCCACCCCGTTGTCCCAGGTGTCACTTTGCACAGGGTGGGCTCGGGCTGGCGGCCTGGACCATCTCGGGCGGGCCTGGGCTGTGTCCCTCCTCCCTGGGCTGGGCAGCCCCGCCAGCCCTGCCTATTCCTGGTGATCAGGTTTCTGTCCCAGGAGCTCTGGGTGCTTTTTTTTTTTGAGAAAACCAAAGTGTGCTGGCCTTGGATCGGTCTCCTTCTGTAAAGAGCTCTACTGAGATACAATCGTGTATCAGACAGTCTGCCGTGCAAAGAGCACAGCCGGTGGCTTTCGTATGTTCTCAGTCAGCACGCGTCGCACAGTTCCACCCCAGGAGCTCTGGGACCTCAGGGGCTCACTCCTGCCCTCTTCTCTCCCCTCACTCAGCCCCATGAAACAACTTATCTGCTTCCTGTCTCCACATAGTTGCCCATTCTGGACTTAAAAAAAATAATTTCAATAATACAGAAGAAGTACTCGATAGAATTCAATATCCCTTCATGATGAAAACTATCAATAATTTCAATTAGATATAGAAGGAACTTACCTCAACATAACAAAGGCCACATACAGTTAATCCACAGCTTGACTCATACTGAAGGGGGTCAGTGAAAAGCTTCCCGTAAGACCTAGAACCAGACAGGAAGCACCACTGTGCCCACTTCTGCTCAACATCACACTAGAAGTTCTAGCCAGAACAGTTAGGCCAGAGAAAGAAATCAGTCATCAAACTGGAAACAAGAAAGCAAAATTGTCCCTGCTTAGAGGGCATGACGCCTGGAGTCCTAGCTTGGAGTGAGTCCCAGCTGCATCAAGGCAGGAAGACCGAGCGCTCAAAGCCAGCCTGGGCTGCACACCACAACCTTGGCTCACAAAATGAAAGGCCATGTGCAGACGACACAAACTTGAATACAGAAAACCCTGGAGACTATCAAACTCAGAGCTCCTAAACAACTTCAGTAGTTTCAGGATACGAATAACAGACAGAAATCAGTAGCATATCTATACACAGAGTGAACTCTGAAAAAGAAATCAGGAAAAATAATCTCATCTATAGTAGCCATAAAATAATGAAATGCTTAGGAATAAATTTGACCAAGGAGGTGAAAAATCTCTACCCTGAAAACTACAAAACAGTGATACGAAATTGAAGAAGACACAAATAGATGGAAAACTCCCTGTGCTCATGCATTGGGAGAGTAAGTGTTAAAATGCTTGTACTACCCAGAATGATCTACAGGTTCAGTGTAATCCCTATCAAAACACCAGTGATCCCAGCAATAGAGAAAGTCCTAAAATTTGCATGGACCTGTAAAAGACACCAGATAGACAACAAAGTCTAGAGCAAAGAGATCCAGGCCAAAGGCACCAAGACAACTGCAGGATGAACAGCAAAGCTGTTTGGATGAACACCGAAGAGCCCAGACACCCACACCAGTGGGGCAGAGCAAGCCCGGGAGGGCCACGCTGACAGCCAGCTGATCGCAGCTGGGACTTGCAGATGTATTGGAGACTTCAGTGCATGCTGTTGGGAAAACTGGATATCCACACGCAGTAGAAGGACGTTGGACCCTTACTCGCCATATAGAAAAATCAAAGCGTATTAAAGACATGAAAGTGGGCATGGAGTTGTTCTGAATATGAGCTCAAAAACATGGCCATGGACAGCAGAAACACGTGGGACTGCATCATTCAGAAGGCTTCTGCAGAGCAGGGGAACAATCCACAGAGTGCGGGGACAGCAACAGGATGGGAGCTGATCTGTGCCCGCCGGGCGCCTGATGGGGGATTGAAATCTAAAACGCCTGGGGGCTCCTGAGAATCCTGTTTAGAACGGGCAAGACCTGAAGGGACTGTCTGCAGAGGAGGACACACATAGCCAGCAGGTGTGTGGCAAGATGCTCTATCACATAGGATCAGAACCACCGAGACCCTGTCCCCTCCACAGCTGGTACCGGCAGAAGGGCTCAGGCATAACAGGAGCCTTACGCTGTCAGCCTGTTACGGCCCCGTCAGTCTGAGGTGCCCTGAGGGGAGCACCGTCCCCTCATTGCTGAGGCCGTGGACCAGGCTGGCCTTGGCTTTGTGAAGGCCTCTGTCTCTTTACGGGGTCTCAGGTCTGTAGCTTCCTTGCTGTCTCTGTGCTGGCCTGGTCTGGCTCGGGTGTCTGGGCAGCACTGGCCTCACATGTGAGTGGGGTGCCCCCTCCCCTCCTGTTTTAGGGTGAACCTGTGCAGATCTGGCATTATCTCTTCTCTCAGTTGTGGGATTCAGCAGTAAAACCACCGGGGCCCAGAGGTTTCTGCTTTGAAAGATTTTAACTGGACTCCAGTTTCCTTGGTGGTTTGGGGCTGTTCTGACCATCACAGGTGTCTTGGGGAACTGGCCGTCTGTCCTGCTGTCCACTCTGGGAGGCTTCTCACCACCGTCCCTTGTCACTTTTCACTGTGCGGGCTGCAGTGACGCTGCCCTGGCTGCTGACAGCAACAATCCATGTCTTCCGTCTTGGTCTTGCTGGGGACCGATCTGATGCACTGAACTTTTTCCAGAGAACTAGTTTTTGGGTTCGTTGATTTTTCCCCCTATTGTTTTTCTTCACATTTTGCTTTCACTGATTTCTGTTCTTATCTGTTTATTTCTTCTGCTTGCTTTTGTTTCTTTCTGCCTCTGCTTTTGACTTATTTTTCTCTTTTTCTAGTTTCTTAAGGTTAAACTTTTGGTTACTGATTTGAGATTCCTCTTTACTAATAAGTGCATGAAAGGATATAAATTTCCTTCTAAGCACTGCTTTAGCTACATCCTCCAAATTTTGATATGTTGTATTTTCGTTTTCCTTCAGTTCAAAATATTTTTAAATTTCCATTAAGACTTCTTTTGACTCACAGATTTCAGCATGTCATATATTTTTCAAATGTTTGGTGATTTTTCTGATATCTAAGATTGATTTCTAATTTCAGTGGACCCTTGACTTACAAACTCAATTAGTTCCTGAGGGCTGGTTGTAACTCAAGTTGGTGAATGAAGGCTCAGGCTCCTCTACACAGCCTTCAGCATCTGTCTCCTGCACACAGGCAGATCTCAGTGACCTTATAGAGACCCTGGCCCAGGATTTCTCAGTGAGCTCCACACCGGAAAGGATGCTGTCATGCTCCTTCCAGAACTCTTTAAGGGTTAAATCTGTATCTGAGACTCTTTGGAAGCACAAGCGGCCAACATTCGGATCGTGACTCAAGACTTTGGTAGTAAATTAAAACTAAAATTCCAGTTGTAACCCAAGTTGTTCATATGTCAGGCCCGTCGTAACTCGGGAGTCCACTGTAGTTCCGTTACAGTCAGGAAAACGCCCTTGGTGTGACTTTGTGTGTTGGCTTCGTGTGTCCATGGGTGGTGGAGGCTCCGCACATGTCAGGAGGAGGAGGTGGCCTCACGCCGGCCCTCTGTGTCCTCGCTGGCTTTCTCACTACTCGCCCTACCACCAGCTGAGGCTGTTGAGCTCTCCAGCTAGACTGTCTGGTTTGCTTTCAGCTTTTGCTCCGTGTATTCTGAGTATAGTTTGGTGCATACACAGTGATAACTGTTGTGTCTTCTTGGTGACTTGACCCTTTGCTGCCACAGAACACTGCTGGTTGATTGTCCTCACTGCTACTTAGGGTTTTGGTGGGGTTTTTTGATACTGGGGATCGAACTTGAGACCTTGCGGTTGTGAGGCAGGCAGCGGCACCACTGAGCTACATCCTTGGCCCTATTTAGTTTATTTTGTCTGATACCAATGAAGCCACTTCATTCTTCTGACTGGTGTTGACATTCCAATGATAGAGCCAGGGATGTAGCTCAGTGGTGCTGTGCCTGCCTGACAAGTGCAAGGTCCTGAGTTCGATTCCCAGTACCTGAAAAAAAATGTAACGTTATATGTGATTCTGTCCTGTTGCCACTACCCCAACTACGTGGTTGGATTTGAGGCAAGTTTCTTACAGGCAGCACATGCTTGGCTTACACGTGTCTGTCTCTAATGTAGGCTGACCAGCTACAGGGGTGGTTTGAATCATGTACATGTAAGGTAGTTCTGGCATTCTGGGATTGAACCCCCATTTTATTATTTGTTTGCCGGTGCTCCCTTGGCTTTTTATCACTCAGCCTCCCCTTCACAGCCTTCTTCAGGCTTGCACTTAGTGCTCTATCCTGCCTGCCAGGTTTTTCATGGGTCTCTGTGTCATTGTTTTGGTAGGTGCTCCAGGGACAGCAGTACCCACACTTGCTTTTCATGGTCTGCTTGCAGCAAGCACCTTCATTCTTCCAGGTCACTCAGCTGTCACTTTGTGGCCTCTGTGTTGTGACCTCTGTGAGTGTGGACACCATTGGACAAAACCATGATGGCTTCCAACCCTGGAGAAGAGATTGGAGCACGGAGGACAGGATGAGGCCACTGTGCTCACCAACAGTCGCCATCTGCGTTGCTTCCCTTTTCCCTTGTGTCTTCCACTGTGATGCAGGAGCTTCTGTAGTGGGTACTTGAGATCAGATCTGCTTGCAGTGCGTCCTCTGAAACACAGCATCTGAAAGACTAAGAGGGCCTATTTTATCTTCATTCCTGCAGTCCGTTTTCACAGGGTTTGGAGTTCCGGGTTGATAGTTATTTTCTTTCAGCACTTTAAAAACTTCTCTCTGGCCTCTTGTTTCTAAAGAGAAATCTGTAGTCATTTGCCTTATTTCCCTGCTCTGAGTAATTGCTGCTTGTTCTGACAGCTATCGACTTTCCTTTGTCTCTGGCTTTTGTGACTGGATCACCTTGGGCCTGGTCTGGGCCTGGGCCTCTTGTCCTGGGGCCTCTTTAGGGCTATGTTTCCATTGTGGGTTTTCAGGTGCAGGTGATGCCAGCCTGCTCGTCCCCCGCCCTGGCCCGCTTTCTCACCTGTGCTCGGGGGCAGGTGCTGCAGAGGACCTGCAGGGGACCTTGACACGCGGAGGTTGTCTCTTCTGGGACTGCCTGAGGCCCCAACCTGGGCGTGGTCTGAGATTCTAAGCTTCCTGTGTGGAGGAGTCGGGGTGCCGCCCGTGCTGACACCTCTGCCTCTCTGTAGCCCTCCCTCCTTAGCGACCCCTCTGCGCATCTGCAGCCCAGAAGGCACTCCGGTGGTGGCCGCCCGAGCGTCCCATTGCCGGCGGGAGGCCTGAGGGATGTCAGAAGTGCTCAGCGGCCCCGTGGCTGGGCCAGTGGTGCATGCAGCCCCGAAGCACAGTCAAGGCACCTGCTTTGTGTGGCTGTTGCAGCCAAAGGCCGGGCAAGAGCATACTGGGGCCCACCCGTCACAGGCCACATGCTCAAACTGCAGAGTCTGATGCCAGACGCCACCTGGCCCTTAGGATGGCCTGGGCAGGTGAGACCCGGAGGGCAGTGTGCCCCGCGACCTGCATGTCCCTGCCGCCCTCTGCAGGTGACCCCAGGGCTTGAGGAGAAGGAAGGGGAGCTGCTGGTCAGGGGCCCCTCCGTGTTCCGAGAGTACTGGGATAAACCAGAAGAAACGAAGACCGCCTTCACCTCCGACGGCTGGTTCAGGACAGGTAGGACTGTGTCCGGCAGGGCCAGGGGGCCAGCTGTACCCTGAGCCAGGGACCCAGAGGCTGCTGCTGAAGGCAGAGCCAGGTGGGGGCCACAGCACCCGAAGCTGACCCAGCCCCCGGGCTCCTGGGAAGCACCTGGACCCCGACCTGCAACAGGGCCTCCACCATCCCTCAGCCCCGAGCACGTCCACAGCGGAGACGCTGCCCACTCCCTCCTGAGGTCCTGGGCCCGACTCCGAACACTGCTCAGAGACCCTCACCCTCCGGGCCACCCGCCGCCCCCTCCCTTGGCCGGCCCTTCTGGCCACTGTCACGTCAGCCCGGTCGGTCTGCCTGCTTCCTGCTGATCAGGCGTGGTCTGTGCAGACCTTTGGTGGAGCCCATCACGGTAGTCGTGTTGTAGACGAGCAAGTTAGAACAGTGGAGATGTGCACACTCTGGGCCAGATTCGAGCCCATTTATTACGCCGGCAGCCCAGGAGGGGCCAGAGCCCAGAACGTTCTCTGGGCGATGGGAAGCGGTTTGATTTCTCCTTTTACATCATGCTTTCAGTTGGGGAGGGATCAGGGGAGACCAAGCGGAATCTTACAGAAGCAGAACCATGCCAGGTCAGTGGGGGCACAAGGAAGTTTCACACAGTGGGTGAGCTGCAAAACATCCTGCAACGGCAGCGAGTTTACTGCCGAGCAGGATGCGGGCGTCCTGGGTGCTTTGTCCAAGCACGGGTACAAGCTGATGTTGAGGTTCAAGATGGCATCAGGCTGGCTGTCACGGTAGGCAGGGATCCTTTCTGCAGAGCCCATCCTGGCACCAGGACCTGTGTCCTGCCAGACTCTAAGGAGGATTCTGCAGAGAAACATTTAGGTGCACAGCTGTGCGCCTTCGCAAGGACATTTTCTTCTGGAAGGACACACACTAGCATGGTGGACCCCTGAGCATTCTTTCTTTTCTGTCTTTTCTATCTATATTTCTAAAACTTCTGTGTAAGCGTGCTTTGCACTGACCTCCATCCCCAGCCTGTTTTTTTTTTTTGGTACCAGGGATCGAACTCGGGTCCTTGCGCCTGCACAGCAGGCGGTGAAACCACTGAGCTAAATCCCCAGCCCCCCAGCCCTTTAGTTTTGTTTTTTTTTTTTTCCTTTAGTTTTTATTTTGACACAGGGTCTTTCTAAGTCACTAAGTTGCCCAGGCTGGCCTTGAACCTGAGCTCCTCCTGCTTCACCCTCCCAGAGTGCTGATCTGACAGGTGTGCATGACCACATCCGGCTTTGTTTTATAATTTTGAAGGTGAAATTTTCTGAAGAGAAGAGCCTCTTTTCCCATGTGACCCTGGCCCACAAGGACAGAGGTGCTCCTCCGGCTGGTTGAGGGCAGAGCCTGGTAGGAGCAGCGGCCGAGGAAGGGCTCGCAGGTGGTTTCCTGGCAGGTCTCGGGGAGGGACAAGCAGGTAGGGGTGGCCTGGGGCCTTGACATCCTCAGCGCCTCATCGTGTGGGCTGTAGGAGCAAGGTCAACTATCCAGCCCCTCGCGGGGGCCGAGTCAGCAGTGGAGAGGGCAGCTCAGGGTGCATGCTGGGCCCTCGCTGCCGAGGAGCTGGCTGCAGTGCTCCCTCCTGTCTGCTCCCACTCGCAGCCCCGCGGCCCCACACCCTCCGTGACCCTGAGCCCCTCACCAGCCTTGGCCCTTGCAGCTGAGGTCAGAAGGCCCCAGGCCCCTTGGCAGGAGCAGAGTCCACAGAGAGGCATGGAGGTGCCAAAGAGGGCCTGGGGTGCTGGCCGGGCTGGCGTCCACGGAACCAATGTCCTTGGAGCCGAGACAGGGCCGGTGCCCCCGAACACAGCCCCAGGCTTCATGGGGGCTGCCCTGCTGGGTGGCAGGGTCTGAATGGGGCCCAGGAGCTCAGGGGCATCTGGGCCCCACCCGTGCCAGGATGCACAGGACAAGGTCACCGTCTGCAGGGGCCTGGCGGTGGGGCCCGCACACGCGGTGTCCCTGGGCAGCCTCGCTCTGAGCTCTCTCGACAGCCCTGGACCCGCCTGCTTCGAGGCCACTGCTCTTTGTCTTACAGTTGGGTAAAAAGCTGTCATGCCTTCCTTAGAGCACTCAGGGCCAAGCCGGCCGTGCTGAGGTGGGCTCGGGGCCACCGGGTGGCCAAGGGTGCAGCGGGTGCTGGGTGCCCCGGTGCTGTTTCAGCTGAAGAGAAGAAGCACACATTAATTATTGTAAGGAGACATCCCCAGGAGAAGACGGTTCTGAAATTCAGTTTAATTCCACTGTAGTGTGCTGGAGACAGGCAGGGAGCGTGTGTGATTGGCTCTCGCCATCCTTTGTCACGGGCCATTAGCGATACAGGCTGCACAGTGAGAGCCGCAATCAGCCCACAGCTGCTGCTTCTTCGGGAGAGCCTGAGATCAAGTGGAAATCAGGATAGATTAAACTTAACCCTCTCCCTGCCACGCCTCCTCCCTGCAGTTTCTGGTGGGAGCTGGAGAGTCTCAGGCCAGCTGGGACCCCGCTCCTGTCCAGCGGGCCTCTGGGGACTGGACAGGGAGAGGTGACCACTGTGCACCGCAGCTGGCATCGATTCGTGCGCTCCCTGCTCCTCACAAGGCCCCAGGGAAGAGTCACAGGTCTCCCGACAGCCAAGCTCAGCACTCAAGGCTGTCGGCCACCCAGGCAGGCAGAAGGTGGCCCCAGGTGACTCCAGGACCTCGTGCCCAGGCGGGTGGATGGCCCAGGAGTCTTGGGCCTGGGTGAGCAGCTGACCCTAGGACAGTGGTGGCAAACCTATCACCTGTTATTGTGTTTTTAAGACAAGAGATGTTAGTGTAGACTTATTTTTTCTTTCTTTTTTTTTTTTTTGCGGGGGTACTGAGGATCGAACTCGGGACTTTCTGCTTGTGAGGCAGCCAGAGGAACCACTGAGCTAAATCCCTGGCCCTAGAGTTATTTTTTCTAAACCTTGATGTTCAGGTTTAATTGCAGCATTGGCACTCTGCAATAAGTAAGTGGGTTTGGGCTGCAATTTGGCCCTCGGTCTCTAAAAGCTTCGCCGCTGCTGCCTGAGGACCTTGGGCCAGGCTGGCAGGTGACCTGGGTCGTTAGTTGAGCCTCCACCTGGCAGGGGCCCTGAGCACACCGTGGCCCTTCGGGGTGGCCAGGGCTCAGGAGAAGGTCATCTGTTAGGGTCCCTGTGGGGGCCAGTGGGGTCTTAGGGATTCTGGTCCCATTGTGCGTACAGCCAATCATGAGGACACGAGCCGGGGAGGAAGCCAGCAGTAGGTGTCCTTAGAGATAGTCCCCAACCCAGAGGGGTCCAGCAGCTTTATGAGGAGCAGGGGCAGGGGCAGGGCCGGGGGGGCGAGGGCCAGGGTGCAAGGGGAGGCAAGGTCCTCGAAGGAGGGTCAGGCAGGTCTTGCTGTCACAAGAAGCTGAGGACCCGGCTGTCACTGCACTGCCCAGGGACAGGGGTGTGCTCACCTTGGCCGGTGATTCCTCCCTGGGTCACTGAGACCCCACCTCTGTGTGGTACCTGCTGCCATGTGCCAGCCCGTGGCAGGTGGCACCTGTGGCCCTGAGCTCTCCCTGTCTCTGGCCATCGCGGGCCGCCGCGTGCAGCAGCATCTTTCTGCGTGGCTGTGGCAGTTGTCAGGAGAGGTGGCCGCTCCAAGAGCCTGGGGGCACTCTGGATCTGTGGCGCTCGGGACAGGGCTCAGGGCTGGCAGAGCTGCACTAACCCTAACCCCAAGGTGGTGTGGGCCATGTGCACAGCCCGCGGGCGGGCGCTGTGCCTGAGTCCTCCTCTACAGGGCGCTACTGAGCATGAGGCCTCGGGGGGGACTCAGGTGAAGACGCTGTGCACTCCACGTTGGCCAGCATGGCAGGCGGGCAGGCGGGCACCCTGTCAGGCACCGGCCCGATCTCCTCCACCCCGCGGCTCTGTGCTACTCTCTGCCAGTCTTCACACGAGCTTCACACTAGCGTGTTAGGGTCCGTGCCGCATGGTCTCCCGGCTGTCTGGGTGGGCGTCTACACTGTGTTCTCTCAGCAGCCATCCTTGGTCCACTGGAGGCTGCTGATTATTGAGCAATGTTGCAGCCTGCGTCTTGGGGTTTCTTTTACACTCTGGTGGTTCTTCGGTTCTCTGGAGCCGCCCACAGTGCCGACACACACACAAAAGCCATCTGCCCCATGTGGGGCTGGCCCCGGGTGTCCAGAGCAGCGCGTGCTTCGTCCCTGACTTGGTGGGCAGCCCTAAAACCACAGGGCTCTGGGTGGAGGGTGAGGGCTTTCACATTTGTTCTGCCAAGGTGGCCCAGAGGGTGCCACCGAGGCCAGAGACCCAAGAACTCCAGTGGGGTTACTGCCCAGGGACCCCAAACCAGCAGCCCCGCCTGCCCCAGGGTTGGAAAGGAGCCATGGAGACGGCTCTGCACCCTCACTGGACCCGGGCAGCGTGTGCACTGGAGACCAGGGGCCAGCTGCCCCTCGCTGTTCTCATCCCCGTCCTGTGGGTGCTGGCACGGCCTGGCTGCAGGGGACTGGGCTCCACAGGCCCTGTAGGCCTCATTCCCAGCTGCCAGAGATCCCTCCACAGCCCGTGGCATCCAGAGCCTTGGTGGGACACCTTTGGAGCCTCTGTGGTCCTCACACTGCTGTCCACTTGCTTTCCAGCTTCCCATCATTTCCCTGGCATCCCTACGTCACGGCTGTGGGGCTGCCTGTGTGCCATGGGTCCCCTGCACACTCTGCTCCCGGCCCCCTCTCTGCCCTTCCCCTGACCGGATCCTTCGGCAGGCCCTGCATGGGCAGGATCTGGGTGTATCCTCAGGGCTGCAGCCATTGGGTCCTACTGAGGCCCACGG